AAGATACCTGTTCACAGAATGGAAGTCTAAATGGAGTTGTTAATTCTGTTCAAATCCATCTGTAGATTCAAATCAATTCCAATAAAAATTCTATGAAGTCATGTTGTAGAAATCAACAACAGGCTTTTAGGATTTACATGCAGGGGCTGATGTCATTTGTGACTCAGGAAGCCAGGCCGCCACCTGCCACACTGGCATCTCATGTAGGAGCTCCAGTTCTGGTCCCGGCTGCGCTACTCTGATCCAGTTCCCTGCTAATGCGCCTGGGAAGGCAGCAGAGGATGGCCCAGGTGCTTGGGCCCCTGCACCCATGTGGAGTTCCTGGCTGCTGGCTTTGGCCTGGCCATCACAGTCATTTTGGTAGTAAACCAGAAGATGGATGAAAGATATTTCTCTCTCTCTCTCTCTCTCTCTGTTACTCTGCCTTTCAAATACATACATAAATCTTTAAATAAATAAAATTTATATGGAAAAGCAAAAATAGCTAGAGCAGTTACAAAAACAAAGTTGGACAATACATACCACTTAATTTCCAGGCTTACTATAAAGCTACCGAAATAAAAAGTATGATGGAGTTGACAAGCCAGACAGACTTGATGGAGTATCTAGAAACAGTCTATCTGTCTCTCTCTCACACACACACACGCCATTAATGGTCAATGAGGCCAGCGCCGCGGCTCACTAGGCTAATCCTCCGCCTGCGGCGCCAGCACACTGGGTTCTAGTCCTGGTCGGGGCGCCGGATTCTGTCCTGGTTGCCCCTCTTCCAGGCCAGCTCTCTGCTGTGGCCAGGGAGTGCAGTGGAGGATGGCCCAGGTGCTTGGGCCCTGCACCCCATGGGAGACCAGGAGAAGTACCTGGCTCCTGCCATCGGATCAGCGTGATGCGCCGGCCACAGCGCACCGGCCACAGTGGCCATTGGAGGGTGAACCAATGGCAAAAGGAAGACCTTTCTCTCTGTCTCTCTCTCTGTCCACTCTGGCTGTCAAAATTAATTAATTAATGAAAAAATGGTCAATGAAAAATCAAAGGCAACACCCTAGAAAAAAGATAACCTCAGAGTGAAGAATCTGGATAATCGGACTTTCACACACACAAGACAAAGAAAAAGAATCTTGACTCATGTTTTACACTGCATTTAAAAAGCAATGGGGGGGCCGGTGCTGTGGTGTAGTGCCAGCATCCCATATGGGCGCCGGTTCAAGTCCTGGTTCCTCCACTTCCGATCTGGCTCTCTGCTATGGCCTGGGAGAGCAGGAGAAGATGGTCCAAGTCCTTGGGGCCCTGCACCTACGTGGGAGACCCGGAGGAAGCTCCTGGCTCCTGGGTTCAGATCGGTGCAGTTCAGGCTATTGCGGCCAACTGGGGATTGAACCAGAGGATGGAAGACCTCTCTCTCACTCTGCCTCTCCTTCTGTCTCTGTGCAATTCTTTCAAATAAATAAATAACTTTAAAAAAAAAAGCAACGGGGCTGGCATTTGGCCTGGTGTTTAAGCTGCCAGCTGGGAAGCCCACCTCCCAGACACAGTGCCTGGATTCACCTCCCAGCTCCACCGCTGACGCCAGCGTCCTGGGAATGAGACTGCTGGGGGCACTGATGTTCCAGTTAGGTAGAGCCACGGGGGAGACCTGGGTTGAGTTCCCAGCTCTCACCTGGCCCAGCCCCAGCCTCTGTGGGCATCTGGGGAGTGAATCAGCAGATACAAGCTCGCTCTCGCTCTCTCTCCAATAAATAAAACTTTTTAAAGACTCACACAGCAGGGCCGTTGTTGTGGTGCTGGGTGAGCCGCCAGCTGGACGCTGGCATCCCACTTAGCCCCACCTTGCGTTCCCGCGGCTCCACTTCCCGGCCAGCTCCCCAGCTGATGAGTCCAGGAAAGCAGTGGAACATGGTCTGAGTGCCTGGGGCCCTGTCACCTCTGTGGGAAACCTGGATGGAGCTCCAGGCTCCTGGCTTCAGCTTGGCCCAGCCCCGGCTATTGCAGCCATTTGGGGTATGAACCCGTGAATGGCAATTTCTCACCGACCCTCGTCACAAGACGTCGCAGTCTTGCGCCCTGTCACTCCAGAGGAAGGAAGGCGTAAGCACACACAACAAGCCACCCGTGACTATTTATTATCATCCCCCAGAGGATCCGACCCAAACAGCCTTCAGCGGACGAAAGGATGCTACAGCCACGTCACAGGAGCCCACTGGACAACACAAAGAGACGGGCAACCAGTACAGTGCAGTGATGTTTTCTATGATATTCTAGAGAGAGAGAACTCCAGAAGCCACTGCAGTGTGGTGAGGAACCGCGCCAACCTGCCCCACCACGGGCACCAGCCGACACCCCGAGCTGTCAGAGGGCACAAACGCTACCACATGTATACTCAAAACGCACCTCGAGAAATCTGACTTTAATTTACAAAAGGTTTTAAAAGGGTTTTTTAAAAGCTGATAACCAGAGACAAATACAGTAAGGATGAGGGCCAAGTGAATGAGAGAAATCTTGTTCAGAGAAAACACAGCTACTGAATCCAGGATAGAGAAAACCCAGGGAGAAAAAAGTTCAAGAGAGGGAAAAACCAATACATTAGGGCCACAGCGTCTGTACCGAGAGTGCATTAACAAATAAGAACCAGGAACAGGCATTTGGTACCATGGCTACGGTGCTGCTTGGGACACATGCATTTCATATCTGAGTGCCTGGGTTCAAGTCCTGGCTTGGCTCCCAAGGACAGCTCCCTGCGGATGCTCACCTAGAGGGAGCAGGGCTGGCTCAAGTCCTTGGGCCCCTGTCACTTACGGGGGGGACCAGGTTTGAGTTCTGGGCGCCCAGCTTCAGCCTGGCCCAGCCCTGCCCACTGTGGACTACAGCCGGGTAGGGACGGAGTCTCCTCTCTGGGCTGGATGCCCTCCCACAGGTCTCCAGTACCTGGAAGACCTCCCCTCTCCCTTTTTTTTTTTTTTTTTCAAGATTTATTTGAAAGGCCAGGGTTTTTCCGGGGGGCAAGGAGGAAACCGCACAGGTTCCTCCCTTTTTTTTTTTTTTTTTTTTTTTTTTTTTGACAGAGTGACAGTGAGAGAGAGAGACAGAGAGAAAGGTCTTCCTTTGCCGTTGGTTCACCCTCCAATGGCCGCCGCGGCCGGCGCGCTGCGGCCGGCGCACCGCGCTGATCCGATGGCAGGAGCCAGGAGCCAGGTGCTTTTCCTGGTCTCCCATGGGGTGCAGGGCCCAAGCACCTGGGCCATCCTCCCCTGCACTCCCGGGCCACAGCAGAGAGCTGGCCTGGAAGAGGGGCAACCGGGACAGAATCCGGCGCCCCGACCGGGACTAGAACCCGGTGTGCCGGCGCCGCTAGGCGGAGGATTAGCCTAGTGAGCCGCGGCGCCGGCCGAGAGGTCTTCTATCCACTGGTTCACTCCCCAGATGGCCGCAACAGTTGGAGTTACACCTATTGGAAGCCAGGAGCTTCTTCCAGGTCTCCCACATGGGTGCAGGGGCCCCAGCACTTGGGCCATCTTCTACTGCTTTCCCAGGCCACAGCAGAGAGCTGGATCAGAAGTGGAGCAGCCAGGACTAGAACTGGCACCCAAATGGAATGCCAGCACTTCAGGCCAGGGCGTTAACCCACTGCACCACAGCACTGGCCCCCCGCCATCTTCTACTGCTTTCCCAGGCCACAGCAGAGAGCTGGATTGGAAATGGAGCAGCCAGGACTTGAACCGGTGCCCATATGGGATGCCGGCACTGCAGGTGGCAGCTTTACCCACTAAGTCACAGCACCAGCCCCCTCTGTGCCTTTCAAATAAATGAAGAACTAATTTGCCAGAATGAAAGGCCATGAAAGATTCACTTAAGAGTGTGGTACAGCTCCTGCCCCCACACGGGAGACCCGGATGGAGCTCCTGCCTCAGGGCTCCAGCCTGGCCCAGCCCGGGCTGCTGAGGCCATTTGGGGAGTGAAGCAGCAGATGGAAGCTCTCTTCTCGCTCCTCTCTTCTCTCTCTCACTCTGCCTTTCAAATAAACAAAATAAACCTTTAAACCAATAATAAACTGTAAAATAACAAACATATGTTGATTTAAACCACTGAGTTGGTGGCGATTTTGGAACACAGCTGTAGACAGCCAATGCAAAGAATGATTAATGCATTAAAATGTGTCAAGCTAATTTAGTCAATGAGAAAATTTTAAAAATTTTATTTATTTGACAAGAAAAAACAGATTGAACAAGCTCCCAGGTGCTCGTTCGGTCCTCTAATGACAGCAGTAGCTGGAGCAGGTCCCCACGTGGGTGGCAGGGACCCAGACACTCCGGTCATCACCTGCTGCCTCCCAGGATCTGAACTGGCAGGAGCTGCGCCAGGAATTGAACCCAGGCACTCCAATGTGGGCGGCAGGTGTCAACCGCTAGGCCTGCTGCTTGAGAACATTTTATGGATCGGATCCCACGAGTTCCTCACCCAGTAATAAGTCAGTTCCACTGACTTATAATATGCCAGGGAACCTAGGGAGAGGAGGACGCTGTCCAGTGGGGGCGGGGCCCTGTGCTGGAGACTTCCTGGACACTGTGCTGCTCCAAGGCATCCCTCCTTCCCCTCCAGGCCAGGGCTGCAGCCAACCAAGGAAGCCGTCTCCTCCCTGGGCTGGACACCCTTGCACAGGGCTCCAGGCCCGACGGCGACACCCAGGGCAGGAACACATTCTATTCTCTGTGTCTCTCAACTCTCGCCACGCCCAGGGGTGAGGCTGAGCACCCAGGAATCACCACTCCGGGTCATCACCATAAGAGACCGCGTGGGTCATGGCACAGTGGCTTTTCTGAGGGTGTGCGCACAGTGGCGGTAACCACCTGCCTGCTCCGAGTCGGCTCAAGCAGGAAATGACGCCCTTTGTGTTCGTTTAAATATTTAAACACCGCACTGTTCGGTTTCGTGGCCCTCTGTGGGTTCTTTTACCCCAAGCCAGTAGCTCCGAGGATCGCCCAAGGCGGTTGGAAGGCGTCCTCACTCACCCTGTAACTTTTCAGCCGGATGAAGTCGACCTTCATGGAGACGAACTGATCCGAGTTCCGGCTGATGTTCTTCAGGTGCTCGACCAGGTCAGCGCAGAATTTGTAGCCCCCTTTCAGCACACACAGGACCATGAGGTCACAGTAGCCTATGTCCTTCATAATGTCCTTGGCCAGCCTCTCAATTCTGAAAGAAGCAGGTGCAGGAGAGACATTATAGCACAACCTCTGTTCAGTGAGAATGCGCACGCGGTGTGTTGCACACGAGGCTACTCAGGCGACGCTGCAGAAACACCTGGGAGAGAGAAACCTACAGGTGGGAAACCACGGTGAAGGCTGGGCGTGCAGAGAATGTTGACGGCCGCGTCACCCACCGTATATCCTCACTCCTGTGTCATAGAAATCATTAAGGTGGGACTCACAAAGGTCAGGGTCAAGGTCAAGCTTGACACATCCAAGGACGCCTTGACTGACCTAAAAGATGGTATTCTATGATCTCACACGCACTCACTTCATGGCACGGAAAAAGGAAGCGGGAGTGATTCAGCCCCTGTACCACCTCACCGGGGACTAGAGACGCCAGGCATTTGGCCTGGTTAAAACACCGCATAGGATGCTTGAATGCCTTACGGTAGTAACTGGGTATGAGGCCTGGCTCCACTCCTGGCTCCAGCTTCCTGCCAATGCACACCTTAGGAGGTGGCACGTGACAGCCCAGGCACCAGGGTCCTTTTTTACCATTGTGAGAGAGCTGGATTGAGTTCCTGGTTCCTGGCTTTGGCCTGACCCAGCCCCAGCTGTTGCAGGTATTTGAGGAATGAACCAGTGGATGGAAGAGCTGTGTATCTCTGTATGTCTGTCTCCCTCACTGCCTCTCATATAGTAATAAAAAGTCAGAATGTTGAAGATGGTGGGATAGGGAGGGAGTCTAGGGAAAGTTGAAAAAAAAAGTGGACAGAGTGCAGTCTCAAGGAAGAATTAGAGAGAAAATGGCAGAAGAAACTCCACATGAATTAGAGGGACACTGTGGACCTATGTGGAGGGTATGGACGCACATAACTCAGGACTCCAGCAGCTGAGAGTCTCAGCACCAGCTGTGGAGAGAGGCGAGACCAGACTGCAGCAGCCCACGCACTGGCCATAAAGCTGCAGGAGGAGCCTGGCCTGAGTCCGGCTTGGGGCCCTAAGGGAGGACAGTGTACCTGCCAAACTAGAGGAGAAAAAAAAGGGGGGTACATTTGTCTCTGCCCCACTACCCAGTGCCAGCACCCTGTAACCTGCTGAGAGAGGGCAGGTGCCATTTGGGATATACATAACAACTGCGCCAGCTCATATCCGCATGGCAGGCAACCAGCCAAGTGGAGAAACCCGAGTCTGGCTGGGGGAACTGACTGTGGAGGCTTGAGAGCCTCTCTATAAAGGCACTGTGGCTGTGTAGGAGGGTACAGGGTGTGGCTGGGACTTTGGGCAGTCAGTGTGGGCAGCTCCACGTGCTTGGGGATCCCCAGTTCCCTGGTGAGGGTCATTGCTGCGGGATTGATTGAGGACAGCATGGATCCTTTGTGTGGTTCTTGTGGCAGCACTGACACGTATTATACCCACTGGCTCTACTGCCCAGGCACTGGTCTCCTTTGTGGAGAGGCAGTGGGCAAAGACTACCCCAACAGAGAGAGATTTACCACGCCCATCCTGGGTGTCAGCTTGGACACTCCCCTCACCCTGGAGCACTGAACAGAGCTCCCTGGCCACACCCACTACATGCCTCTAGGTATTCACTGCAAGAGCTGACACTCCACTAAGCCACAGAGGCATACTCCGAAGAGAAAAGCCTCACAGGGAAGAAACAAAACAAAAAAGAAACCAACCAGTATCTCCACAAATGCTGAATAATAAACACAGCAATTCAAGAAAGAAGAATAAGGAAGACAACATGATGCCCCCAAAGAACACAACACCTCAACACTAGAATGTGAAGATGAAGAGACTGAAGACATGCAATTCAAAAAATTGATGGCTAATTACTTAGAAGTAATCAGAAGCAAATCCACAAACAGATGAAATCTGTACATGACATGAAAGAAAATTTCTCCCACGAAATTGAGATCTTAAAATAAAATCTTGGAAATGAAGAAGTCAATAAATAAAAATGCAGTGGGAATTCTTAACAATAGAATCGGTAAAGTGAAAGAAAGAATATCCAAGTTAGAAGACAAATCACTGGAAATTTTACATTCAGGTTACAAAAAAAGAAATTAGAAAACTGAAAACCAGTTTTGGAAATATATGGGATACTATCAAACAACCCAACATACAGGTCATATGAGTTCCTGTAAGCATGGAAAAAAGAATTGATTAGAAGGCCTTTTTATTGAAATAATTATAGAAAACATCCATAATTTGGAGAAAGGGACTTCCAAGTACAGGAAGTATCTAGAACTCATATAGACATGACCAGAACAGATCTTCACCACAACACATTGTAATCAAACTCTCCACAGTGAAACAAAGAAATTATTCTAAAATGTGCATGAGAGAAATGCCAGATTACTTTAAGAGAATATTCAGTTAGACTCACAGTGGATTTCTCATCAGAAACCCTACAGGCTAGGAGAGAATGGCAAGATACAGTCCAAGTCTAAAGACAAAAAAACTGTCAACCCAGAATACTGTACTGTGCAAAGCTCTCATTTATTAATGAAGATGAAAAAAAAACCTTCCATAACAAACAAATTGAAGAAAGTTGTCACCACCTGTCTAGCCTTACCAAAGATGCATAAGGATGTGCTACACACAGAAACATGGTCATCACTACAAAAGAAGCTAAAGGAAGAAAATCTCCCAGTAAAAAGTACAAATGAAATCCAAAATAAACAACAGGAATATTTATGGGAAAATGACAGGGCAAAGTCATTACTTATCAATAGTCACCTTGAATGTAAATGGCCTCACCTCTCCAGTTAAAAGCAGACTGGCTGAATGGATTAAAAAACAAAATCCATCTATTTGCTGCCTACAAGAAACACATCACCTCCACAAAGATGCATGCAGACTGAAAGTGAAAGAATGAAAAAAGATGTTCCATGTAACAGAAACCAAAAAAGATCTGGTATAGCCATCCTAACATCAGACAGAATAGACTTTATTTGTTCATTTTTTTAAAGATTTATTTTTACTTATTTGAAAGACAGAGTTACAAAGAGAGGCAGAGACAAAGAGAGAGAGTTCTTCCATCCACTGGTTCACTCCCCAGAGGGCCGCAATGGCTGGAGCTGTGCCAATCAGGAGCCAGGAGCTTCTTCCAGGTCTCCCATGTGGGTGCAATGGCCCCAGGACTTGGGCCATCTTCTACTGCTTTCCCAGGCTACAGCAGAGAGCTGGATTGGAAGAGGAGCAGCTAGGACTAGAACCAGTGCCCATATGGGATGCCAGCGCTTCAGGCCAGGGCTCCTGCTATGCCACAGTGCCAGCCCCCAGAATAGACTTTAACAACAACAACAACAACAACAACAAAAAAAACTGTTAAAAGAGACAAAGGAGTGCACTATGTAATGATTAAGGGATCAATTCAACAGGAAGATATAACTATTATAAATGGATATGTACCTAATTACAGGACATTTGGCTATTTAAAAGCAATGTTAATAAATCTAAAGGGACACACAGACTCCAATACAATCATAATGGGGGACATCAATACCCCACTTCAGCAATGGACAGATCAACCAGACAGAAAATCAGCAAGGAAACAGATTTAATCACACTATAGACCAAGAGGACCTAATGCATATGTACGGAACTTTCCATCCTATAGTAGAAAACAAATTCTTCTCACCAGTGCATGGAACTTTCTATAGGATAGACCACACGCTAGGCCATAAAGCAAGTCTCAGAAAATTCAAGAAAACTGAAACAAACCATGCATCTTAATGGACCACAATGGAAAAAAGCGGGAAATCAGCAACTCAGGAATCTCTAGAACACATGCAAACACATGGAGACTGAACAACATGATGTTAACTGAACAGTGGGTCACAGAAGAAATCAAAAGAGAAATCAAAAACTTTCTGGGAACAAGTGAAGATGACAATACAAAATATCAAACCCTATGGGATATAGCAAAAGCAGTGATATTAAGAGAAAGTTTATAGCAATTGGCGCCTAACTCAAGAAATTGAAAGGCATCAAATAAATCAGCCATCAACGCATCTTAAGGATCTAGAAAACCAACAGCAAACCAAACCCAAAACCAGTAGGAGAAAAGAAATAATTAAAATTAGAGAATAAACAAATTGAAATAAAAAATACAAAAGATCAGCAAAACAAAGAGCTGGTATGTTGAAAAAATAAATAAACTGACACACTATTAGCCCAACTAACCAAAAACAGCAGGGAGAAGACCAAAAATCAATAAAATTAGAGATGAAAAAGAAAATGTAACTACAGGCACCAAAGTAATAAGAATCATCAGAAATTACTACAAAGACTTGTGTGTCAACAAACTGGGAAATCTAGTAGAAATGGATAAATTCCTGGACACATACAATCTACCTAAATTGAGCCATGAAGACACAAAAAAACCTAAACAGCCCCATAACCAAGTCAGAAATTGAATCAGTAATAAAGGCCCTCACAACAAAGAAAAACCCAAGACTGGACAGCTTCACCATGGAATTCTACCATACATTTAAAGAAGAACTAACTCCAATTCCTCTCGAGAGGGAATCCTCCCAAATTTTTTCTATGATGCCAACATCACCTTAATTCCTAAACCCAGAAAAGATGCAACAGAGAAAGAAAACTACAGACCAACTTCCCTGATGAACATAGATGCAAAAATCCTCAACAAAATTCCGGCCAATTGAATCCAACTACACACCAGAAAGATCATTCACCCAGACAAAGTGGGATTTATCCCTGGTATGCAGGGATGGTTCAATATTCGTACATCAATGTGATACACCACATTAACAAATCGAAGAACAAAAACCATATTATTATCTCAATAGATGCAGAGAAAGCATTTGATAAAATTCAATGCAATTTCATGAGGAAACTCTAAGCAAATTGGGTACAGAAGGAACATTCCTGAACACAATCAAGGCAATTTATGACAAAACCACAACCACCATCCTATTGAATGGGGAAGCATTCCCATTGAGATCTGGAACCAGACTAGGATGCCCATTC